TCTTATGCTAAATTTTGCTTCCATATGAAAACAAATCAATGGCAAAACTTTTGAGGTCAGACTGATATTCTGGCAGTACTTATTTGCCACTGTGGGTGACCATTTTGAAATCAAGAAATGCTCTGCAAAACTTCTTACAAACAATTTTTGATGTGATGCGCTTCCTACCTTGTAATGCAGTAGCATGAAACAAAGAACATATGAGACAGTGAAAGAGACCAATTTTATTTTTATTTATGGCTCAACATGTATCACAGGGGTCGTACATGTGCTTGGCGGCCTGTCCCGTGGGAGGCTTCGCCTGGCAACCAAGCAGGGCAGAGAAAACCTGCATACTCGGGCAAGGAGTGATCCCTCGCATCGGGTGGGGCAAATGCCCGGCCGGCCGGGCTGTGGGAGGAGCCATAGCAGATGAGAGCATCTAGCCGCGACACAACGCCAGGCATTTTCTCCTTGGGTTTTTTAGAGGGGTCGGGGGCCCGCTCGGAGGGTCAGTTTGGCCTTTCTCCTCCGCCTCCGGCCTCCTTTTCTCCCAGTGGTCCTGCTTTCTGCCCATACGTGCTTCGCCCTGCATCGCCTTTTTAGCGAACCAGCTCACTGCAGGGACGACCTCGTGCTCTGCTGCCTCCCCGACGGAGCGGGCACCGCTGCATCCAGTCGCCCCCGTCGTTTCCCGGGCACAGCCGACGCCAGCCTCTACCAGCCACAGCCGCCACCGTCGCTGTTAAAAACGGGACCAGACTCCCGGTACTAAAAGTGAATTCAGCATTTATTATAATAGAAAGGCCTGAAACATGGGGGCCCACGGGCCAAGCAGGAGCATTCCTGTCAAGGATGCTGCAGCGCCGGCGCTGGGTCTTCTTGAGCAGCGATGTCCCCGACGTTCAGGTGAGCGGCACACATTTAGTGGGTCGGATATCCCTTTTTATCCTGGTTTGGTTTTTTTTTTTCCCCTCTGGATTGGTTTATTTTTGGATCCTTCATTTGCATGAAGGTTTTAGGCGCTTGCTTGGCCCATTACAGTTCTGACCAGGTTGGCTCGTTTCGCTGGGGCGTGGTGCACTTTGCTTAGGTGTATTATGGTACGCTGAGTACCGTATTTCTTACAACTATCCGTTTAACCCCTGTTACAATATAACAACCAAATACAGTATATGCTTAACAATTATCAACTATTTTACAAACGTTTCTAACCTATTTTTAACTGTCGCTGTGTTTCCTGCGCTGCCCGCCCCACTAACCTGCCCTAGCACTAGCCCCTAGCGACCAGGCCATGGCCGCCTGCTGCGCCAGCCGCCGCCGAGGCCCTCACTGTGTTTCCCGCGCTGCAGCCGCAGCCACTGCCGCTGCTTGCACTCGGTCCCGCCCGCAGCCGCGGCGCCCCGACCTGGCAACCCGCAGGTCCTCCAGGACTGCGCCCGGACCACAACAGCCTGTTCTCTGCCGACGGAGGGAACACGCAGCCTGCAGCTGTTTGGAAATGGCGCCCAGCGCGCCATGGGAGCTACGCAAACGCAGCGCTGTTCGCAGCGCACACGCTCCGCCTGCCAAGTCGGCGGTGACGGAGCGCCGGGATTCTTGTGGTAGCGCTGTCCCTGTCTTCGGTTTCTTTCTCCGTCTCTCTTTTTCGCTCTGTGCTCCTTTTCCTAACTACACTTACCCTTTTGTATCAGTAAACGGGTCTCAGATCTAATATTGCTGCGTTTACGCTTTATTCTCCTCTGAGAATCAAAAAGAATCCTCCCTGACGCTCCGTTTTCCCGTGGGACGGGACACAGAGTATGCAACACTGAAATTAATGCTTAATGGAACCTTTTGGGCAACTTTCAAAGCTTGACCGACATCTTTGTGTGCAAGTAAAATTCTTGACTTGTGTATCCCAGTGTCCTCTACCGTTTGTTTTACTGCTGTCAAGTTTGCTGACCTGTCACTTACCTGACTGGGAAGTAGCATTGCAGCATCATCATCATCTCGTACATATATTCTTCGTCTGTATGCTGAACGTGAAACATAATTAAGAACTTTTTAAAGGCTTAGGAAAAATAGGATTGATTGAGGGAATCATATACTTAATCAAATATGTATATTTACATTCTGTATTGTATATGGAAAGAAACACCTGTGTGCTTCTGAAGTATGGCAGTGTGTGAAATGTGGGCATTTAGAGAGGTGTGATTTAGTTTGTTCTTTTAGCTAAGACAGGGTACCCTACATACCAAGTGAGATTTTAAAAAGCAAACAATCACTTATTAATAGATCTCATTTTAACAGGAAAGTTTTGCTATACTGAAAAAGAACAGGTACTCTGACAAATTGGATGAAGCATTTTGTGTTAAATATGACAGATATGCTTAAAACCTTTTAAGGGTATGAAGTTTTTAGTTTTGAGTATATGTAAAACTGAACTGCAAGAACTGGGAAATAAGAGGAAAACCTTGAATGTATGATCCTTAAACTAAGAGAACATTAGAACAGAATTATGCTACCATATAAAGACTGTTGAGGTGCACAGACAATGTTTTAGCTGAGGCTACTTCTGGAACATAATTAACATATTTGCTAATTTTGACTGTTTCGTTTTCCAATGTTAATTATGTTTATTTAGCATATGTTACCTACATTGTCTTGGAGGGAGGTACTTGATATTACTTTAAATAGTGAAGTATGACTTCTTAAATGATTAATGTGCGGTTTTTTTCTTTCTAAATGATATAAATAATAACAAATAATTGCAGGCACATCTTTCCTAAATAAGCAGTCACCATCAGGCCAAAATGAATGGAATGAAAGCTTTTTCTGCTTTCATTTTAGTCAGTGGTATGTTAGAATTCTGAAAATTCTAAAGGATTTGCTTTTTGAGACCCACCAGAAGTTTTTCAGCATCCTCTGAGTCCCACTTACTGAAAATTCACAATTATGCATAAAATTACTAACTAAAAGCAAATGTTATTATTGTAAACTTATGTTTCGCACTCCTTAGAAAGTAAACACATAACATTTCTTTCATTTTGTTCTACAAAAGGAAATAGTGAAGTTTTATTAGTCCCATTTCATGTATGGCAAAGGTTTTTTTAGTGTTTCTTACTAGAGAAAAATTAAAAGTGCACAGACAGAAACAAATCCAATATGCACTGACATTTTAGTCTATTAGAGCAGGTTGTTTTGCCTGCATATATGAAAATAATAACAGGTCATTAAGCATGGAACATTTGTAAGGAAGGTCTGGTTCCAAAGTCAGCTTGGTTTGAGCATCTTCTGTGGATTGCTGTAAGATCATATATCTCAGCTGCAGAAAGGCTAAATGGAAATTTTAATGTGCTGCATGCCAGATGCGTCAATGGAATTTAATCCCTCTGGTCTAGCAAGATCAGTTACTTAAGCAGCTCTTACTCCACACCCTTTTTTTAAAATATTATAAGTGGCTATTACAGAAGAACTGGAATTTGGAATGTTGCTTATTCGTACCTACCTTTTAAAGGCTAAGTTTCTAAGTCATCTATTACTGAATCTATTAGAAAAAAATAAATCACGTATCCTCACTCTAAAGCAGGTCTTATTTCTCTTCGCTTGGAAGGGAAAGGGATAAACTGCTGTTTGTGTCTCTTCCAGAATTGCTTAGGTCTCTGCAAAGATGCAGGGCAGGAACTGTAGTTGTTGCTATATAAAGAGCAGTAAGGCCTCCCCAAAACATGTAACTCTTCTGTAACCCCAAACTCTCACGAATAATTAGGTAATTCAGCTGCCTTGCCTTCAATACCTTTTAAAGAACAGTATGGGAATTTCTCTTTTCCTTAATTTAAATGTCTGATAGAATATGTAGCATACAATCCTAAATTGTTAGGTTAGGGCATTAGTTTAGAGGGTTTATCATGTGTAGTTTATGTGTACTCACAGAATGGAGAATGAAAGTTTCATATTAAGTGGGGCATAATTTTTAAGGCTATCTATTCTTAGTTTCAGAATATGATGTCCAATATATACTTAAACTCTTGTTCTGTCCTTTGTAAATTCCTCTGCCAACATAACTACATTTCTGCCACTGCTTCCACCTGTATCTTCCTTTGAGGTAGTCCCAGGAGTGATACCAGATCATTACATGCCAGAGTAATGGTTTTATCAAATCACTGCAAGCCAGTATGAGCTGAAGCAGAGCCAAGGACAGCCTTAAGTTTTGCTGAGGATGAATTCAGTTCTTCAAAGCATCATTGACTTGGAAAGCAGCAAGTGGTATGCACTGGAATTTTGCAGATCACCCAAGTGTCCGAGCCAGTCTCCTTCACTGGGTCACTGCACAAATAAATGAGACTACAAGCAACGTAGTGCTGATGAGGAACAATGTTTTCCACATGTCTTTGTGTGACTATTTCTATCAAACAAAGACATGAGAAATGTTAAATATTCATTCTGTAAATATATAGTGTTATAAATGCCTTCATTTTTGAAGTGCCTTCTCTTTTGAATTTTGCAATTAAATGGCAATTAATATGAAATTAATATGCATATTAATGAATATGCATATACGAAGTAAAATAATATGCAATTAATTTACATAATATATTTTTAAAAAATAATATGAAAACGGATAGAATGAATTTGCTTTTCCATATGTTTTTATTTCATGACATATTTATAACATTACCTTTATAAAAGGATAACAAAATGTGTAGACACAAGCCTTTCTCAGGAAATGAAACAATCAACAGTTTGGTTTAAGTTCAGGGTCACTGCCTCTGAAAACCAAAGGGATATGGTACAAGGCACTTAAAAAAAACCAAAACAACAAATTTCCAAGACAGTTTAACTGAGCGTAAATGAGCCAGCACATTCCTAAGATCACACCCCTGCAGATCTGTCCGGCAAGTAGAAGGTAGGCAATTAATTTACATAATATATTTTTAAAAAATAATATGAAAACGGATAGAATGAATTTGCTTTTACATATGTTTTATTTCATGACATATTTAAAACATTACCTTTATAAAAGGATAACAGAATGTGTAGACACAAGCCTTTCTCAGGAAATGAAACAATCAACAGTTTGGTTTAAGTTCAGGGTCACTGCCTCTGAAAACCAAAGGGATATGGTACAAGGCACTTAAAAAAAACCAAAACAACAAATTTCCAAGACAGTTTAACTGAGTGTAAATGACACAGCACATTCCTAAGATCACACACATGCAGATCTGTCAGGCAAGTAGAAGGTAGTAATACTCAAGATTCAGCCAAAGTGGTTGTCTGGAATTTAACTGCTAGAAAGATTTAGGCACTGACAAGCTTCTACCATAGTTTCCAGAACTGCTAATAAGGCCTTTGCCTGTTCACCAGGGAAGAATAACATGCTTTCAGATATTTCTTGAAGAAACTGTGGTAGCTTTTCAAAAGTTTCTAGCTCTTTAAAATACATGTCTACCACCCAATCTCCAGAAGATGCATTTTTCATCTCAAAGCTATCATAAACCGTTACTGGAAGTACATTTGAACAAGCTGTCGCTCTCAGAGTTACAGTCAGGGGTGTAGACAAATTATAAACAGAACAAAAATTAATCAGCATCTTAGTAAATGAAATCAAACACAATTCTTTCTTCTGATTGCAAAAATCTTGTTCTCTGCATTCATAGAAATTTTCAATGCTCTCTCCTGGATAAACGAGATTCAAAAGTTCTTCCTTTACTGCGACTGAGTCAACATAATCCAGTGGCAATTTCTCGTGGGAGTTCCTTTGCTCTAGAAGGACTGGCCCTTCAGGAAAAACACAAACATTAATAACAACAGCACATTTTGTGATGAATTGGCAGCTGAACAAGATTTTTGGGTTGCTTACCGCCAGAAGCCAGGTGTCTGTTTATGTTCCTTTTTTGTACCAAGTTATGCTAATAAAACTGATGACTTACACATTTGCAACTCAAGATAGAACCTGTAGAGAGACCCTTTGTAACAATTTCTTTACAAACTTGCATAGAGTATGAAGAAATGTAATATTACTAGTTTTGCAAAATTTGTTAAGTACTTTGTAGACCAAGTTATTTGCTGACATTGACTTCAAATTAAAGGCATGTTACTGTGATGGTCTTTATTTTACTTATCTGAATGGTGTGGCCATTCTTATGCCTTATGCTGTGCAGCAAGGTAAAGGTGTGGGGTAGGAATCCAAGCCTTCCCCAACAACTGAGTTTAAATGTTTCATCTTAACAGATTTCTGAAACACAAAACATAATTACTCTAATAAACAGATTTAAAGTAAGTAAATGGGACATACTTACTTGTTCAGAACTAGTCTGAACAAATAAATCCTTTTGGTATTTCCTGTTTATTAGTACAAGGAACCTATTAATATTTAAAGAGCTTACGTATCTCTTGGGAAGTTTAAGAAAGGCTGCATCGGTAAGAAAAAATGAAAGCTGTTAAGACACTACAAGTATTCTTCAAATATGAACCATCAGGAATCTTCTTACATAAATTTGTATTACTATGCTAAAGTAATGATACCATATATTTCTGAAGAAGTGTTCATGTTGATATTTTAATATATTTAATATATTCACAAAAGGTGAACTCCCACATTTCATATCAGCAATAGATATTTTAATTTTGCTCAGATTAAAGCTGTATCATTATTATTATTACTTATTATTTAGTATCATTAACTTCTGTGTTCTAAATTATTGAGCTAAGTAAGTTCACACTGAATAGGTAACATGCTTTCTACCATGGGCCTGTCTGTTACTTTACAGGCCATAACTCAAGAGTGTGACAAAGGCAAAGATAAAGGTACACACAGCCTCACACTTGCCAGAAAACGTTGATGAATGCAAGTGCAAACAGAGCTCTTCTCCTGTGATAACAAGATCTTCCACTACCTATTCTTCACAACAGCCTAGGAAAAATGCACATCTGTTAGTACAGTGCCATTTCCAGTTGAGGAGCTGGGCTTACTATAATACTGGCTGTTGCATCACCTCAACTGATAGAACCGAATCCAGGTATTTGCTTGCATGTTAGATACCAAGGTGACATGGCACAGCAGAGATATAAAACACCTGGGGGCAACAGAACTGAGACTCAGTAAACAGAGGTAGAACTACAGAAGGAATGTATTGATTATCATCTGGTGATTGCACAACAGACACAGACACAGCCTTTAGGGGGCAGGAGAAGACTGTAAATACAGAGGGTCATATGCCAAGAATCCATTAAAATTTAGTTTCTCTATGTTAATTAATAGGCTGCATAAATATACTCTTCTGCCTCATGACTAAGCACAGAATAATTTTTACTGAAAAACTCTGGGTTCAGCACATAAAGCACAGTTTACACTGCCACAGTTTACACACTGGGCAGTGGTACAGATATTGCAAACACTCATTTTAATAAATTAATTAAAATAAGGAAGAGTTGCTATCCAAGATGATTCTTTGCAGATATTTGGGGTTTTTTTTACACATGCTGAATTAAATACATTGGTACAGTACATACTTCAAGATACAAATACCCCGTCTCTGAACAAAAAGTATTGTTTAAAACATTGTGTGCTTGTCTAAGGGGAAAAGTACGTTTTTTAGAAACTAAGGCATCCCTCCCACTACTATCCCTAAACAAAAGTTATGATTACAATATCATTACTTTTTTAAACTAATTGCTAACCTAATTGTGTTCAGAGACCATCACATCAATTTTCACAAATGCTGAATAAATTTATGTTTAATATACATGAAAATATAGAGATTTAACCGATCTGGTTTTGTGTTGTGGTAAAAATAGATCAAAACAATAGAAAATACTTAGCCTTGATTGGTGACTAGGTAATCTTTTTTTTTCCATTAGTGAGAATATAGTTGCAATACATATTGTGTAAAATGCAGGATAAAAACATTACCATATTAGAAAAATGTGGAAATCCTGGTTAATTTCATATTCAGCTGATCAAGATAAGTGTGAAAACAGTATTATTTTCACTGTAAACAAAGCAGCTTGGCTTAAAAATGTTCTAAAATATTTAATAATAACTTTGTATTTTAGGAAACTATCAAGAAAAACACTGAGAACTTCATATAGATTCAGAACAGAGGATAATTTCCCTAAACTAGTTAAGCATAAATGCACTCACCCCCATGCTGAAGTAGCAGCTTGCCAATTTCTACATGTCCATTTGACAGTGCATCATGCAAAGGAGTCACCCCATCCACTTGACTGAGCAGGTCTACCTCTGGACAACGCTCCAGAATTTCACGGACACACACTGTGCTACCATGGTTACAGGCTTCATGCAAAGGCGTCCAGCCAGCATAATCTGAATTATAAATCAAGGGAAGTTTTAAAACCGCAGAAGTAGTACTGAAATGTTAATGTCATTCATTAGACAGGAAAACACTTTACTTTTTTAGTACTCTTACAGCTGGAATGGCAGCTTGTGATTTCAAAACAAGAAATTCTGTTGAAAAACATCTGAAACAGTATAGCATTTTTATAAAAATCAACAGAAAATGTGATGTTAAAATACACTTCAGTTATAAATTCATCTTACCTTAATGTTTGCTGTAAAGTCCTCACTTGGTTATTTAAAAGAGTTTCAGATTGTATAAATACAAACTTGTTACCAAACAGATACTAATATAGTTCTTTATGTGTCTTAATTTCTTAGTTCTGTAATGAAAATGAATAACTTACCTCTGACATTAATGTCTGTTCCCGGCAAAGAGAGAAGCTGAATCAATCTCCCCACTTTGTTATTTCTGCAAGCTTTATGCAGGGCTGTCTCTCCTACCATGAAAAATTAATAGATTACACTAGACTAGACAAGATAGCAACTAAAGAAAATAATCAAAGGCTCTGGAACTAGGAGATCTGGTTATGTACCAGAAAACTCAATAATGAGTACGATTTTCCTTTATCCTTTTTAAACATCTTAAAAGAAAAAAAACCCCACGGAGCTTCTGTTCCACCAGAGATCCAGCAATGAAATTGTACTGGAAATGGTTTTTAACGCAGGAATTATCTCCCCTCTAGTTCAAGGTTTAAAGCTTCAATCACACTATAAAAGCACCAAGTGATCACAAAACACAAAAAAATACCGGATTTTGATGCAATAAAACTTTAGAGTGCAGTTGCCCTCCCTTAAATTTATTCATGAACCTACATTAAGATGTATGGTTCTTTTTACACAGTGTTTATAGCTTAATTCAAATGAATGTTTCTGGCTAAGCACAAGTGCCTCCACACACTCAAGTATAAATCAAAACTTCAAATCTACTAGCAGATTGTTTGCTGTTTCTCAATAGGCTCTCTGACTTGGCTACAGTAGAGAAGGAAGGGAGAAAGAGGGAAATTAATAATAATAATACTAATAATAAAATTATTAGTAGTAGTAGACCCTGGGGAAAAAAATCCAAACTGTAGTACCATGTACAGCTGAAATAAGTGTGAAAAATTAAACAGGAAACATCTGAGAGCTGCTGCTTGTATATGTACAGACACCACTAGCTTCTGTGTAATAAAAACTTCAGACACATTCTAAATGCTGTTTTCTTTTCAATAATTGATTAGCTTTGAACAAGAGCCAGAGGAAAATCCTGATACCAGGTGAAAGATGATGAACCAAACATTTTAGAAATTCAAGATATCTTAGGCTAGATCTCTTAGCTTTTATAGTAAGATCTACATTGAACATTTTGTTATATTAATACCTTTACTATATAAATCTATCAGCTCTGTGCCCATTCTTTCAACAGAAGACACTGCTTATAATTTTAGCAGGGGAGAATAGAAAAAAAAGCAGGATTGGTTTGTTTGGTTCCACTTCCCTCCCCCTCCCCTCCAAGTCCTTCAGCTCATTTTTCTTTGTAGAAATCAGATGTAATAATTCACATCAACTTTACTTGCAAAAGCAATAAAAACAAAGGGAACAAATTTAAAAAATGTATGGTCTGACTCTGTTGCTGAAGTTCTTTTAAATCTTTAAAGGGGGTGAGGTCTTCTTTTGTTTGTGATACAATTCTGTTTTTAATTTTTTGAACAATTCCAGCTTGCTTTTGCCATTTTTTTGAGCCTTCTCCTGGGTGTCATATTAATAGAGTTGTAGGTAAATTTCTGATAATAAAGATGAAAAAATAGTTCCAGCAAGCAATTCTGTAGTAAAGGAAACCTCATGCAAAGTACAATTATTAAACTTGTGTAGTAGATAGGAACTGAATGAATTACTGTAGTGCTGTTTTATTCCTTAGGTACATGAGTTCCAGTATAGTTAAAACAAAAGCCAAGTGCATTTCATAGTCTGGGATGAATGTCTGGAAGAAAACAGTCCATATGCTTAAAACAGCTATTTAACATAGCATACTCTTCAGTCTTTATTCACAAAATGTTTAGGACTCAGAGAGATGAAGACTGAATTATACTTGCAAATCACAACACGTTGATCCTACCAAGCACAGGTTGAGGTGGATTAGCACAGTAAGGCAGGTAAGACTGGAACGAGCTCACACAAATTGTACACTGTATTTAATGTATGAAAGGAGGAGGGTAACGAAGAAAATACCTACCCTATATATGGTATTTATTTTACCATATATACAAATTCCTCTTTTTAAACAGACATTGCAAAAGAGAAACGTGGACCATAAGAAAATAATTATTGGGCATAAGCCATTGTTTTAGTCCAGCATTCATCAGGACAAGTTTTTTAAACATAAAACTATAAACTCTCGCCACTTTAAACTTCTTATCATAAATTAGACAAGTAGAATACCTTTAATATTTCTCTTGTGTGCCTCTTCAGCAAAAAAAAAACTCTCTTTGGTGTGTGCAGTCTGGACTTCTGGTTTTTCTCTAAGCTTATTAAAGATTAAGTCACTGAAAAGAAAGCAAAGGGGACACATTTTAAATCACTATTTAATAATTAATGTATATGTACTTAATGGTTTTAAATGTGTACATACAGGATATTCAGATTTATCCACTGCAGCATCATTTTAGAAATGTCTTAATTACATAATTTCTATGACATTTAATTATAACTGTATTTAAAACAGAAATTAAATAGGATTGCCCATTTTTAAACTATCTTTAAAGGTAATTCTGTGAACAGTGAACTTCTGTATATACCCTATAAATTTAATATTAGACAAATAAAACTACATCAGTCTGCATATACACTGAAATTGATGATCAAAGAGAAAAGGGGAAACCCCAGCCCAGAGGTGTTACAGGCTTACAATGGAGCTTTCTGTCAGTTAAAGTAATTTGTAGACAACAAAACAGGTCACATAAAGTTCAAGAAATGTGTCAGGTCAGAAGCTGTCCCCCAAAGCAGAATAAAACTGGTGATGTTATAGGTATTACTTACGGTAGATCAGGCAGCACTTTGACTTGGTTCTGCTTATCGCCATTTAGCATCTGTAATGTCCTTTGAGACTCAGGGCATGGCTGTTGCCCTATTTTCTTTTTCTTTGCTTTGTGTATCTCTGTCTCACGCATCCCTATCTCTCGCAAAGCGGGTGAATAGGAACAGACCTGTTGCAAAAGTAACATTTTATAAATTAAGAAATTTTCTTTTGTTACACTTACTGCAAAACAGTCATCTATATCCACATGTATCCATCTATATTCTTGATCCCTGAATGACTGTACATTTAGATTGTTTCAGTTTGTCTTTTGCATTCCTTTTCGATGATTTTGTAATTCACTCTACATTGGCCTCAGTGAGTGGCTTGTGTATAAGATAGAAAATGGGAAATTCTAGGCCTCTCTCAGATTTCTGACAGTTGAGAAAATCTGGATCTCTTTAGCTAGACCTAAGAGTTGAGTACAGCTAACTGACTTCCATATACTAAAACAAAATATTTACAGACTTCCTGCTCCCAAACCAGAGAGCAATTTGGTTAGACAGACTCATTCCACTCCTTGATCTCTTCTGAGATGAGGGGTTGGATTAAGTCTTTGAGCATCACAAAGGCAGTAAGCAAGTTATCCCTTAGGTGCTCTCTATTAGGACAGCCTTGGCTGTTGTAGATGTTAGCTTCTTTGCAGTAACACAGAGCTTCAAACCCCCTACACTGGTCATTTAAAAAAGTCATCAAGTATCTGCAGTATCTTAAGCAAAAGCATAAGAATAAAGGCCAGTAAGGAGGATTAATCAAACACACAACAATTATATTTGAAGAAAGGTATTAAGGAAGGCTTTGAGTATTTAGCAGTTAACTGTAGACCTTGCGAGCAGTATACAGTAGGTGAGGAACACCTTACTTGCACCTTCACTGCACATTTGATACCAGGGAGTTGTTGAACTCAGAGAAAAGCCAAGCTGATAAAATGCTGTATGAGAAGAACTGGCAAAACTGGAAATTTTTTACCATATGGAATGAGAAAGAAGACTTAGTCATACTAAGGAAAACAACAAAAGCACATAGACTTGTTTTAAGCACTATAACAATTTTTAAGTAGTTGCGGAGAGTGATCAGTAGTCACATTGATACTGAAAGTAGCAATTCTGCTTTATATGTGGCAATATACATGAAATATTAGTATGCAGTTGGTTTATGTTATGAATTCTGACAGTCTTTTGTTCAACCTCTGTTTAAATGTGCTGTATTAACAAACAATGACCTCTCTTCACAATAAATTCCTGCAGAATTTATGAAAACTTATGCATGGGAAATGTACAAAGGTATAGATTTGATTTTTGTGACTCTATCTGTAGAATAGTAGAACACAGACAAACAGCTATGGATTCCCTATTCTGTTTAGTCATTAGTATTAAAATTACTGAAATGAGACTGTAAATTAGGGCATGACATTACTGTGTGATTTGCCCTGATTTGCCTGCATTCTGCCAGCAGTCATGGCTTTGAGAATTTATTTTCCAGAAATTCTCAAAAGATTCTTTGAGAATTTATTTTACCATGTTTTTCCTCAACAACTATCACTAATTGTGATTTGAAGGCAGACAAAGGTTTGTGAGTAGGAGAAATTTTCTAAGAGGAGAAATTCACAGGAATACACTGTGGTTCAAAATCATAAAATCTTCTATGTAACAAATGCCTGGACCTATCTCTTCAAAAACGCTGAAGGAAAAGGTAGCTAAGAAAAATCACACTATATCTGGCATTCTGCTTAAGTACAAATGTGATGCTGCAATCATTATATCAGGGATTATTTTTAAAAGCTTTCACTGGTGTTGCATTTTTTCACTTTCATGATAACTGCATGTAAACAGATACCAGATTGACAAATTCTCTATCAAGAAAAATCTTAGTATTGTTCTGGACCCAGATCTCAGGCAAAGAGATATTCAAATGTATGGAACACATGGAAAGACAATGCAGGCAACAAGCATGACCTTAGACCACAAAGAGAAGATATATTTCAAGACTTTTATGAATCTATTTGTAAAATACTGAAGTGTGGTAAGTTTTGAAGGAGTTACTTACTATTTTCTGAAGAGAAAGAGGTTCTGTAGAAACAGCAATATTCCTCTGTAAACACATTTGTTTGAAAATTGCTTCTGCAACAAACAGTTGAAGCCAGTCGGATGGTATGGCGCAAATAAACATTTTTAATTGACATACAGAAAAATCTGGATAAAAGCAATTGGAAAAAAATAAAGTAAGCCTAAAATTGAAAATACAGAAATCTGCATACCTACTTATCGAGAAGACAGATCAACCAGGCTTTTTGCTCTTATTGCAGATTCAGAAGCTTATTCTCCATAAGAAGTACTAAAATTCTTCCCATTAAAATAGATTTTAAACATCATCTGCTAAGATGATGGGATACTGAATGTTAAACACATTTTAGAAGACAAAGCATCACTTTTTGTGTGAAACTTTTAAAAATGCTCTTAATATAATAAATCTCGAAGAGACACAAGTTCATGTAACAGTTATAACACATGAACAAGGAATCTGCAAATAACGCAGGTGACCTACAGGTTCTACATTGAAAGACACCATAGGCAAACTGCAACCCCATTCAGATGTACCAAATAGCTTATACTATTTAAAAAAATGCCCCACACAGTGGCAGAGAAACTTACATATCCATGCAACATATATCGGTATGTACCAGGCATAATAGTGACCTACCTTGTTTTGGAAAAGAAGACTGGAAGACTGATTTTTTCTTACAGTGGTAAGAATTTGTATTTTGATTCTAAGAAAATAATATTGTCAAAATAACAACTGAAATGGTTGGAAAGTAAGACCTGCAGTAAGGAAATCTTTACTGTATAGAGGGAATCTTCTGTTTTATTAAGAAATGCTCATAAATTAACTGATCTGTAGACTCAATCAAAACAGAAACCCAAGTTTGAGAATACAGATGTTTGCTACTCTGAGTATAACTGCATTTAGGAAAACTCACAACAGTTTTGTTTTGAGTGCTGTGGATTGTACCATGTGGCCCAGGTCAAATAATCTCTATAAACAGACTGAATCCTGTTCTTGTTTTCCCTTCTGTATTCAGTATTTATCCAAGAGTATCCCTATTATATGACAGCTATAAAATCCTTTGAAGTGGTACATATTAAAAGCTCCATTGATTTAAACAGCATAAAGTTCAAACTGATTTGGCCTTCTAAGAACTAAGTCAGTGTATAAAAGTTCTCATAATTTGCTTTCTGTAAGACTGGAGTAGAACAAATTGTCCAGAGATTAAGATTTTAGTGTAATTTCTTTTCATGATGGTTCTTCCCAAGTGTCCAGGTAGAAGGCAGATACAATTTAAATGAAGCTTACATATACCTGTTACCACAGAAAATGATGACTGGAAAAGGAGTCAGGGGAAACTTTGGTGGGAATTAATTTTGAAAATAAATTAAAATAATACTTTCTTGAGATAATTTTGTCTTCCAACCTCCTCAACTCCTTGCTGCTAAAAGTACAGATACCTCAACTGACATTCCATATTAAATGATAATGGCTATTTGAGTCATGATGTTTCTGTTTACCTAGTCAATTTAATGAGGAATAACTACAGTAATTAATGGGACTCAATGGAATTTTCTCCCATTCCCTCCATTAAGTCCAAGGATTTGGAGGGAGACATTGAAATATTTCATTTGAAGTTGTAGGAGTCACACAGTTCAGTGTAGGTTTTAGACTTACAACTGAAGTGTCTTTAGCAATCTGTTTATTTTCTGGAGTGACAAAATTTGCCTGAGTTGAGTAAGATGCCTCTGATTGCTTGTCTGAATTTAAGTTTTATTATGATATGCTTAAATCTTCTCCTAAACTGACAAGAGAGCTCAAAAGATTTTTTTTTCCTTCCTCAGACTGTGTGGTCTTGCTTTCACATCAACACTTAGACGTTTATTTACAGCGATTTTATTAAGAAAACCATTCCATTTGATCTTTGCTTGACACCGACAGACACATACAGAATAAAATGGTTTCCTGGGTACGTACACACCGTGCAGTGCACAGCTGCAAAAAGGGTAAAAAACAATTTGAAACTATAAACCAAGGATTTTAATTAGGACTTAGTGTATCTGATGAGAAGACTTTTGAGAGGCCTTGCAAACACTTACCATCACATGAAATGGCAAGGTAATGCGCCAAATCAGGCACTTGATGAAACATATTCCTGTCCATAAGCAAACCTGAGATGATCCAATAGTCCACTACAGTTCCAAGAATTGCATTTAATAGACCAGCAACTTCATTTCTGAAAGTCTAAATGGAAAAAAGCATAGGTGCATCTATTGATCTGTAATATATAAGAAATTCACAGATAGTGTACTAGAAATAACATAGAAAAATTTAGATAAAAGCTCACTCTGCTGCTATGTTACTCCTTCATTGGCCTTTCTTCTGCTCAAAAGCTAACTATTGCAGCCAGATCACCAAAATTAGTGTCACTGATGCCACATCAATTAAGATTTGGTACTGGAGAAAAACAGGTTCCATGAAAACATCACCTAAAACAATATGCAAAATGCTGTCAAAACTTATAATTGCAATGTGATTTATTTTTAAATTAGGTTTTGTTTAACCATAAGATTGCAAGTACTGCACTTATTCCAGTTAATCTTGTGTTTAATTTGACAATTGCAGGGATCTTTTTCTCCCTGCTCTATCAGCATTGTCTTTTTTGGAAGATTTCATCATGAAATAAAGCTCTTTTTGTGACGATGTATGTCTGTGCCAAAAGAGAAAAGGATGCTAAGTGTTAGTTTCCTCCACAGAAGAAATTCTGGCAGTCACTTTGCAAAAGCTAACTTTCTTCAGCTATCAAAAAATTCAAAGAGATGAGCAGCTACAAATTTAGGAAAAAAGCCATCCTTCTGAATATTAGCCCTGTAATTTTCTATTTTGAACAGTCACACACACATACAAAAAAAAAAGAGAGATCTATATCTATATCTATATCTATATCTATATCTATATCTATATCTATATCTATATCTATGCTTATGTTTCCCTTCCAACTCAGCTTATTCAGTGATCCTGTGAAAATGGTAATGAACAAGTAAAGAAAGCTGATGTATTTTCTTCAAGAGGCATCAAGACAATACACAGGAATTTAGCTATCCAGATACCACCATGAGAATGCATTTATAGATGAATGATCTATTGATAGTAAATCATTAGATTGATGAATGCATTTATACACCTATATGAGAACTTAATCAATACTGGTTAGGTAAAGCAGTATTTGTAATGTTTGAGTTAGTCTTTGCAAGGTCACATCTATCTACATACCCTCCCGAGCCACAGTAGAAATACTTCATAAAATTACTCTGAAATACGTTATTCATCTGACCACATGTACCATGACATGTTTTGAAAGCACAGCTTGGAGAAAAGCACAGGCACCATAGCAGGAACATAAGAAATTACTCTGACCTAGGGCTCTACCAGAGAATTACTACTGTTACACCAGAGCACAAATTGATATATGGCATCTTGTGAAAAATTATGAGTACTTGAAACTGAACAATTTTGCGTAAGAGACAAACCAGACTCAATGGGTACACACTACAGTCAATGATTTTTCTGATACTCCTTTGAGAACAAAATATGTTCAAGGTTGGTTTAAAATAATTTACTAGGATTCCTTAGGAGCTGAAAAGCACCAAAACCAGTTTGAGCATCAAACAGACGTACCTATGAACAATGGAGATGGTGACACAGATGATAATAAAAACGTTATAAAGCAATTTGTTGAAAACTACACAAATACCGTCACTACAGTTAAGTTACTCAACACTTAACAGAAAAGGAATAAACACAACTACAAATAAACATGATGTGTGATGGAAGCATTATCTCCATCACTTAAGATTTTTAAGAATTGGCCAGACAAAATCTGTTACAAATGTCATCTCCAAGATTGCTTCCAGGCCTACTTCCTCTTGCTTTCTCAATCTCTACTTGATTTGGTTTGCTCCTTCCTTTACTATGTAACAATACTTTATTATAGATGAACTGTGAAATCTCATAATTAAAAAAAAACCCCTGAGAACACAGATACGGCATGCCAAAACCCTGAAAGTATAATTTTTAAACTAAAGTTTAAATATTTAAAAATGTACATTTACACTATCTTCTGAGGATTCAGGAACAGAAGCTGAAAAAAATTTAAAATATCTGAATGCATTTAAATTTCCCTTAAGTATGTATACCCCTTATCACTGGACCCCAAAGCAAAATACTGGGTGAATAATATAATTCCACCAACAGTTCTTTACTGGAAATAAATTTCACAAACACAGCAAATAAGAACAATTTTAACAAAAGTTAAGTGACAGGATTAAGAACATATAGGTGTGATCTGAGATAGACAGAGATGTAAAGCACAAGTATTTACATTCTCTTTATGGTTTCTAAATCACTACCCTAACTAATTCCTTTATGAAATACTTTTAAGAAATAGAGCAGAGGTGAAGGCAGACATTGAGGGAGCAGACTGAAATAATGACTGTTAATACTGCAAGTATTAGTAATTTTTCACAGTCAGATATATACTGAATATTAAATGCAGCTGGGTACTCTAGCAGCTTCTACATTTGCCCAGCCAAGTATCTATGCATGCTGACAAGACAAGCCAGACACTGCCAACTAGTGTAGGCTTGGTTGGCATTTTTGTAAAAGAACAGTAGGACAAACCAAGAGCTTCTCCTCAATATTTTAAATAAATGGTTCAATGCTGCAAATGAGAGAGGGAATTTAGTCTAATTTCCTGAAAGAACCATATGTTCTAGAAATGTTTAAATGTTAACATGTTAAAAGTATTTTCAAATTCAACCACAAAACAATAGACAGTAGTGAAAACATGCAGTATTAAAAAAGAAAAAAAACCCAAGCATTTCCATTAGAGTTGGAATTTGTTACCACGTATGACAGTGCCAAGACCTCTTTTTCCCCACTCTGCCTCTACAACAAGAAGCTGGGAGGGGCATCAGCCAAGACAGATGACCCAATATGACCAAAGACCTTCTGAACATTGTGCTTAGCAGTAAAAGCTGGTTAAACGAGGGAGGGAGAATGTTTGAAGTGATGGTGTTTGCCTTGCCTAGTAAATGCCATGTCTTATGAAGCCCTGCTTTCCAGGAAGTGACTGAACATCTGCCTGCTGATGGGATGCACTGAATGGAATCCTTATTTTGCTTTGCTTGTAAGTATTTGGTTCACTTATTAAATTCTCTGTATATAATGTCATACATTTTTTAATTTGTCCTTCTGATTCTCTCCCTCAACCCAATGCAGGGTGGGGACTTATCTGCCAGCTGAGATTGACCCACTACACCATGTACAGCTAATTAAGTAACATGCAGTGAAACCTCTTTTCAAAATTCTCTTCCTTGCTCTTATTGTTGAAAATCAAAGCTATCTCACTAAGAAAAGCATAGAAGTGGGAAGAAGCTATTGACTGTGTTAGCATACAAAGGTCACATCACTTTAGTTGATATCTGTTAGCTTAGCAAATGCAATTCCTACATTGCTGTTCCATTTAATGCTTTGTCAAGTCAAATACAGTGCTACGGTGGCAGAAGTTTCACAGTGTGTTTTTACACATAAAAGTTTTTATAGGAAAATTAAAATTAACTTTTTTACTTTGAATTACTGAGTTATTTTAGAACGCTAAAGAAGAGGGTTTTTTCGTGAACTATAAATGTAGTGCTCCACAAATGCCACAACATACTTCCAAAAAAACTACTGCAAGTGACAGACCAGAGACACTTGGTTCTACACCACACAAATTTACACTATGCAACTAAAAATCTGAATGAATGCCACTGTCACTTCTTTATCAGGCTATGTAAGAAAGCTTTTTTTAAAAAATCCCCACCAGTATTTTCAGGGATGAAAAGCATTTCTGATACCATCTGTGACATTGTGAAAAACCATGCAATAGCTCAATGCAACTAAAAGTGTTATAAGCAACATACACATTCCCTGGTAAATTCTACAACTGAATGAAGAAATTTGATTCAGAGAACTTTGACCAGGAATTACCCATCAAACTTGTTTAATAATATAACAAACAATATATGTTAATTTATTTTAGAATTATATTCAAAATTAATTTGAAGAGTTCAAATAATAGGAAATATTTTATGTTCTTTGGCAGTGCCTTTTTAACTACAAGAATAGCGTATCAATATTATTTCCCCATGTGGTTCAAACCGGTTAACCCAGTGATAAGTGAGGACGTCTACTTTCCTGCCACTATTTTTATTCTGCTGCTTCTAAAATACAGCAAATTCTATCTAACTCCAGAAAACAACTGCACTCAACTTGATGCTTTGTTTTTTGCTTTTTTTTGGACTGCTCTTTTTACATGGTATGTTTACACACATACTTAAAACATAATTTTGCAGCAACTCGGCACAAGGAGAGAGGAAACATACACAGACATTTTCCCTGCACTCCAGCGCTCTTTGTTGCAACCTCTTTGAATCACAGAAAGAGAGAATCTCATTCTAAAAAGCTAAAAAAATTAATATCCGCTCACTTTTACCAGTTATAAAATATTAGATATGTTTAAATAAAGAATTTTGTTAAATTATTCATCTGTTTCCACTTATAGATATTTTTGCTGAAGAACTGCACAGAAGTTCGGTATCTCAAAATATGCATATTTGTTTCTTCCCACAAGCTAACACACTTAGGTGCACTGAGAAATACGGTTGGTCACCCCTTTGCAATGTGCTACAAACCACATGCAGAGAGTAACAATATCCAAAATCATTCCTTTCATTGAGGTTTCAGAATGGCCCTATACGCTTCTTGTGACAGTGTTACCTCTTAAGCAAACAGCTTTTATAAAACAAAACTGCTAACCTCAAATTGAAGACAGGAAGCATAATTTTGCACCCTGTATGCTACTTCTAATGACATGGAAATACGATGTATTTATTTATGTATCTCTGAAATTATAGAAAAAGGAAGGAGAAAGCACAGTTCTGTCTGCACAGATAGGGAGGTTTCACTCTTTTGATTTTCTGAATGACATTTTAAACTGTCTAATGGAATTTTAAAATTAGTCTGAAAATACAGAAAAATGTCAAGCTTTCGTATAACAAGATTGAGAGAGAATGAAGGGACAAATGAGTTGGATTGTAAAAATATGGTATTTTGGTTTAGAATTTATTTTTGCCAAAAATGCAATGGGAAAGAAAGTGCAATAGATAAATAAATATGAGGAACAAGGCTGTTAGAAAAAATGTAATACACTACAGATATTATGAGGCAACAGGCTGCTTCTTAAGGCTAGAATTAATCTGTGTAGGATAGTTTACAATACAGTGCGTAAGATGAAAGTGAGAAAGCAACAGACATCCAGGATTTGTGCTGAAACGACAATTCTGAGATATATGTATATGAAACAAATAGAATCTAAACAAGAGGCAGATCTCTGTGGTTTATGCTGTATGTGGGGATTAAGCTTATTTTTCATATATGTAGTACAGTCTGACAATAGTGATTATTCTGCCAGTGCAAAGAAAGGTTTATGAGAAAGGCATAGCTTACAGTGCTGGAACCTGCCAAAGGAAGGCATAGCAGTAAAAAACTAAATGGTACCTACACTTAAACTGCAGATTCAACACCAGGGAAAATATGAAAGCAGTGTCATTTTCCAAAGGAACAGAATGGCTACTGACACCAACTGCATGTAAGCCTGCTTGCGGCTCAGCACCTTTGAAAAGATAGGTTGCTTAAATATAAATATGGGTATAGAAGCCTAATTTTAGGCACTTCTTAAATATCTTGACCGAGGATAAAAAGCAGCACTGTTTCACAATGTCTTGCTTTGACAGCCCTCAAAAAAGGTAGGAGGTCTGGCTAGGTAAGATGATTGAAGCTCTCATTATGTTTAATCCTTTTGCTTTCATAGCATAATGAATAACTACTTGGTATTATACTGAAAGTGCTTTTTTCTCCCTGAAATACTTGATTTTCTATTGTTCTGTTACTGTGCAGAAAAAGTGAATGGAATACCTATTTATTCTGTGCTCTCACAATAATTTAAAAGAGAATGCAGAAACAGCAGTTAGGTTTTATTTTAAGTGAGAATCTAGAAGTCAAAGATGTTTTACAAGGCCTCTTGCTTCTGAAAAGAAATAGGTGGTATAGAGGACACTTAGTATCTTTCAGGTCAATGTCCTGCTGGTCAGCAGGTCACAGAATAGCAATTATGTTGCCTTCAATTCCATTTTTATGCTAAATCCTACGAAATATTCCAAATGAAGCTAAAAGACTTAGGAAGAAAACCAGGGCGTTTTATTACAGTAAAACAATGCATATCTAGCAAACAACAAAAAAAAGTATTAGTTTTGTTAGGTTTCTCTTTCAAATGTTTCCTGAATCCTGTCACTGTAAAATAAGATAATCACTTCTTTCACTACACCATATTGTTTGAGAGAACAAGCTGGTGTCTGTAATAACTACAGTAATACCTGCTGGTAAGGGCATGTGAACATCTGAATGTAGCCAACAAGCTACTCATGACTCGTTTCTTCTCTACATATCTATATAAGAATCTTATGGATCAATTCATTTCTTTAGTGGAGCAAAAACCAGCACGCTTCACAATAAAAGGCCGCTATAACAAGCGGCTGTTATACTTACATATAATTCCTCACAAAAGAATGAACAAAGGGACACCTTTAAAAAAATATGTCTGTCTTCATATTTTAAAGTATAAAATTCACACTCACATAATTTTTTCCATTTAATTCTCTACGGGAAAATATGACCCAATCTGCTAGAATATTTATGTGTTTGGTAAAAAGCACTGCAGTTCCACTTTCAAGCAAGAAAGTCTTCAGAAGAACTGTCTGTGGCAAGACTTGTTGATGCTGTGAATTTGTTCCTTCAACCAAACTGGAAAAAAAAAAAAAAGTGAAAAAACCTAAAGCTTTATGCCACTTTGATTATTATAGTAACCAGACAGAAACCTTGTCTTCATTCAAAATACACACAGATTTGGGGATTTTTACCTATGGAAAGATCAGACACAATTTCTGATGCAGAATAAACACAATTATGATGACCATTACTGTTAGACCTAGGGAATTCTAATACTGTGCCACTATTTACCTAAAGTAAAGGCCATCATTTCTATATAAAGACAAAGCAAAACCTAGACTTCTTTTATACTTCATAAACCAAGGAAAGGTAATTGTCTCCCTAAGGCAATAAGAGATAACAGTTATTTGAATTAAAAAAAAAAAAATAATCAAACACATACATCAGTATATTCAAAATCCTGCTTAAGAATGAACAGTGAAGTACAGCAAATCTAAAAGTACATCTTTATGAGCAAAATTAAATGCTTACTGGAATAACAAGCTGGAAAAAGCAAGATGTTTTAAAACATCATTATAAGAAACCTATGAATTTACAATAAACAATCTAAGAATTGAAAAATATAAATGGAATTGCTAAACTGTTTTCTAGAGCAGTATCTTATCAAGGATATACACAAATCAGGATACAAGCTGCTGTAAATAAAGCAATTCTATAAATTCTAAAATTCTATCCCACCTTTTTGTCAGGAACTCTACTTCGCCTTTTACTAAATCAGAGAAAAATTTCAATAATGTTTTATGAACTATCCTCAGTTCATCTTCTGTCCCTGAAACCGTGACCGTATGACAAACTGTTTCACAATAAAGGCAAGACCTGAAAAATAAAAAATTAAAAACTCCATTTGTATGACAGAAACAACAGATATTCTTTTGGCAAGAAAGTCAATAATGAATCTGGTCTGTTTTGACAAGGAAAAAAGGTTTGCTCCTCAGCAACAGTCAACGTTTTAAAGCCTAATTTTCTGGTTTTAAAGGTTTTTTCAAAAGAAAAAAAAATCGACATGTTTGTGACTGAGCTTTTGTGCTTCAGATGAACATTTTGTATTATAGTGTAAACTAACTTTAATTTGGTTTCATTTTTCTGTCTCTATTTGAGATATTGTACAATTACTATATTAAACAGAACTTCTTTAAAATCCTTTAAACACAAGATAATTTTGTAGTATTTTGTAGACATGGTAACATCCTACAAGCTTCTGTTCAGATAATAGTTCATACATACTACTTGACAGGACTACAGACTGTGAATTCTGACGTAACATGCAAACACACTTTTTGTCTAGAATCTTGAGTACTAAAACCTGTATATAACTTCTGGGTATTCCCATTCTCCAGGAAGTATTAAAAGACAACATACTTAATCTAAAAGAGAAATTCTCTTTCATGTTCTTCAAGACATGCTTACAATCACACACATTCATTTATCTGTAATCATCATTGTATTAAAGTATTTAAATATTACTTGAGGTTTTATCACAGCCACAAGAAGAGGTGTAGTTTCTTTTCCAAATGAAGAAATAATTTCTGTTGATGCAAATTACAAAAAATAAGTTCTCAAGATAAAGCAGAGACTAACTATCCAAACAGTTCCTAAATACTGTCTTGCCTTTGTAGATATAGATAAGATATAATCAGACTTCTTCAAAAAGAAGTTTATGTTTAAAATCTAAATACAACATGAAACTTCATGTTTTGCAAGACAAGCCTTGAATTTGCTTTGTAACTGCAGATATATGCCTGTGCGTGTGTGTGCTTATATGTATACAGACAACAACAGCAAGACTACACAGATTACTATACTCTGTAAAGAGTATAAGAAATAAAATAATTTTAAAAAATTATTAAGGCTAAGAAAATGTACTTATTTTTCTTTCAAAAAATTTCATCTGCCTGCGAGCTAACACTTTTTGAAATATAAAGTGAAGTGTCCAAATCTTTTCCAATTCTAGACTTTCACATACTGGTAACTTTTTCTGTTGAAAACAGCACTTTGTTGCGATAGAATGCCAACTCTCCTTTGCTGTCTCTGAGTTTGGAGTAACGTAACGACCGCATTTGGTACCTCATTAATCTTTCTTACCTTACAAGCATCTCTATCAAGGACCATGTGCCTTTCTTACAGATAGGACACTGAAGAAGATCCAAATAATACTTCAACATCGATGGGGACTTCCAGGGAGGTTCACAATGAAGAACAAGATAAAAAACATGACAAAGTTTGGGAAAAAATATTGTATCGGTGTTTCCCTGCAAAAAAATGAGAAAATAATATTGCCTCCAAACTAGCCAAAGATCTATATCTGTAATCACTAAGAGTTTATTTTATTTAATCTTTACAATATCAAGTGGCCAAATTTAATCAGTGAAGTAACATGTATAAAAATACAAAGTTAAAGAAAAAAAAAAGGAAGAGAAAAAGAATTGCTCTGGTGTGATATGTCAGTTGAATGCAGCACTGTTTAGAGCAAACCTTGTTCTCACTCGATCTCTCTATCCGCGGCATACTAGAATAGTGCTGTTTCTAAAAGTAACAAAAAATATTTGTGGCCAAGACTTCCACAATATTTAGAGCATTACATTCATTTGTCTTGCAAATAAATACTAATTTGAAAAATCCCTTTTTAAAATAGTTTCTTATTTTTACAAGCACATTGATGAGCACAAAAAGAAGGGTGAATGGATCACTAAAAACAACTAAATACTATGTTAGAAGCAAAGATCATAATACTTCCATTTATCGCTTTTATTTTTAATAATACTTTAGTCTTCATCTCTCACCAATAGGACATATTCTAGAAGAGGATGAAGAAGTTGCACAGGAGGTGCACTGTACATTTGGCCAGCAGCAAGTTCTGTGACTACATCGTGAACTAAGTCCTCTTCCACTAATCCTTGAAGTATAGACCAAGTGCCCCTGGACCAGTCAGTACTTTTAACCTAGAAATGAGATATCATTATTAAAAAAAAAAAACCCAAAACAAAACAGCTTAAATTTTAAAAAACCTTTAACCAACCAAGTTAACAAACAAGAAGATCCCTAACTAAAATGTTGGTTTTATATATCCTGGTTCCTGATAGGACAGAATTGATTTTTGCAGTAGCCAGAGGGATGTGACTAAGACAAAGAAGTTATTCTATACCACCTTACATCCCTGCCAGGGCAGGGGGAAGGGACTCTCATTTCCAAGCAGAAGGGGTCCTTCCAGTCAAGAAGATCTTAATAGCACAGGACTTCCATCTTGTTCTCTGCCACTCAGAACAGCAAAACTCTTAACTTTACCACTTTCAGAGAACCCAGACAGATGCAATAGCTTCCATGAGATGCTGTATTTGTTCTGCAATTTCCCTGTTAATGTCTGTACTTTCTGCTTTCCAAAGATCACAAATTAATGACACTAGTGAGCTACTGAAGGTCTCAGGTACATTGCTATTTACATCTTTCCTCTAGTTCAGATTCAAACCAAAGATGATGCACAAGCCAGTTCCAACAGTATTGCTAAATGAAGCACAGCTTTCTTCTGCCAGGTAACTGCTCTTTTGAAATGCAGCTTTTTTGTTTGACCACACAGCCTGAGGCTCTGGTAAATTCAAATTTCTCCTAATTCTGGGATAAGGAGGCACAGCTGAGGGTCAGACTGATCGCACTACTGGGAATTAAACAGTTACATACATTTATTATTGCTTTAGTCTCCGATAACTTGTAAACTTTATGATCTCTGCCAAAAATCTTGTCTCTTGGTGTGCATTTAATAGAATAGCTCAGATAGAATTGTTATAAGAGCATTGAGTCCAACCGTTAACAGCACTATTAACCCCACCACTAAACCATCTCCTTTAGTGCCACTTGTACCTATCTTCTAAATCCCTCCAGGCACGATGATTCCATTACTGCCCTGGGAAGCCTCTTCCAGCGCTGGACAACCCTTTGCAGGGAGAAATTTTCCTATTATTCAATCTAAATATCTTACTAATTGTTTTAATATTATATTACAGTTTATATTTTAAATTGACAGAGATTTTGAGTCCAGTTGTGGATTTGAAGTCTAAAGAATATACTGCTATTAGACAGCATCCAAAAATGCTCCAGTAATAAGATAAAAAACATTAAGAGCTCTGTTCAAACATGAAAAACATTCAGAAAGAAATTATAATCATGGTTAAATCACAGCTAAAATCTCAGTAAATGAACTCCACCTTGGCATTAGATATTTAGTGTCTCTGCAAATGTCTTGTATCTCAGACTCTTAATGTAAGCCATTGTCACACTAATAATATATAAAGTTGCTCATGTAGACAATTTTCTTTTAATCAAGTCTTTGTGCATCTGATGTTTGCAACTCACATTTATTTCAATCTACTCATTCACACATGAACTATTAAAATCTCCACTAAAATTTCCTTTGGAAACAATGGTTGCATTCATACTTTTGTAATGTTAATTACATGCAAACAACACATCTAAAGAGCAATCATAAACTGTTTAATAAACAGTCAAAGAACTTCTCTGCCACGTGGATTTAAGATGTTAGATTGTATATAGGACGTGTACAAGCATGTTACCCTGACCTTCACCTGGTGATTACACCAGGATCCAGCTTTATATATTGTGACTGAAACTTTCACTTCTTGAAAATTCTTTACTGGATGAAACAGTAATGTTGATGCATTATTTTGAAAATACACTAAAATACAGATGTTTTGAGAAGACTATGGTGGCATGGCACAGCATTCAAGTCAAAGAGAAACTAGCGACTGGTTCATGACATTTCTAAGAGATAGAGAAAGATGACACAAAACTGAGGCAATAAACTTTTGTCAGTATCAGGAGACACCTATTATTGAAGAGACTTAATACTCAATAAGCTGTCCAAGCTTCACTGGCTTGCACTCTGACTGATAAGGAATCAGCAGTTTAATGTGAAGCACTGCTGGTACAATCATTAGCACTTTGAGCAGAAACAAATGAAATATGAAGGTCCACACAATACATCTTTTACGTTGCATGATGTGGAAGAAAAGGTGACAAAAGAGAAATAAATATTTTTGGGATGATGATGGATCAGAACACTTAGCTGTGCTAAGCCTTCCTAGCAGATGAAAACTGAGATAACAAAATACAGTAGGCAGATCTAATATGTTCATTTAGTTTGTAGGTGTGATTTTACTTCAATTCTATTATTGGAAATGTTTACTGGAGCTGCTTATAAAAGTCGTAAATATACTTACTATAGAAGACACATATTATATAAAGGCTAGCAGTGGACATTCCATAAAGCAATAAAAGTGAGAGAACAGTAAGAGAAGTATTACAATTAGGCTTAAAATTTCCAGGCAAAAAATGATATTATTCTTAAGACTACAGAAAACCAATTTCAGGTTACATGTGTTACGAAAGGTAATTTTTCATCCCATTAATTCAATAAATTACACCCTAAGATTAAATTTCAATGCAAACCTCTTCAGGAACAAAAACACACATAGGACTTTACAGATCAGTGATGGTGTTGGATCATGACAAAAATATTTTATTCTTCACGTTTTAAAAATAAATTTTTTCTTCTTCCTTCCTTATTGTCAATAGAAAGAAACTAGAAAAAGACTGATTTCAAGTAACTATTTATGTGGTATGGCTCATGAAGATACGAGATCTTCAGTTACCAAGGAATACAGGAAGCTAACACATACTATAAGTGTTTCCCTTTTTAACTTTTAAGTAACACAAGTTACCATATAAAATGCACTACTAGTAGCTCATGGCCACTGTATAAAATGCTTTTTGAGTACTAAAGAGGCAATGTTTCAACGCTGTTTATAAATTTATTCTTAGTATTCTAGACAGACAAGGCAAAATTTTAAAAATATTAATTTACTTCAGGTGTTTATAACGAAGACTTAATAAAATCTATTGCTGACCTGTTTTATGGCATTGATTTGGGTTAAGAGAAATAAAACAGAGAAATTGAATAGTACACAAAAGGAATTAAGTCAAAGTGACTATGAAAACAGGACTAGAAAACATAAAGCATTCTACTTGCAATCTGTGCTTCAGCTGACTCTGGAAACTCACATGATGAAGTATCAGGCATGTGCTGAAAAAACAAGTACTGTTTCTTTTTACAGTGAGATAACCTCTAGCTAAAATCTGTCTCTACTAGAAAAAGCAGTGCTAAAAATTGTGTACACTCTGTCAATTTTACTGCATAAATACAGTGCTTGAGTAATTTAAACTGCTTTAAATCACATTAGGACATCTTTGCTTTTTGATTTCATAATCTCTCCTACCTTGATTAATAGGTAAGGTTCTCTTAACTAGCAGGACTAAACAGTTTCTTTCTAATAACAGGGACAGTACTAAAAGTATCACAGGGACAAACAACATTCAGTACCAAATGACGCTCTTTAATGGAACAATAACTTTATCAGAGTTTTGGACAGCCATAATCTAAAAATGTTTTTTAACAGCTAATTTTGCAATTAAAATATGTTTGTCTAACTTCATAATAAAATTCCATTTGCATAACATGCCCTCTTTTTTAATAATGCTTACCTCTGGATTGCGTTTGTTTAGCTGGTCTGTTTCCGTAAATCTGTGCTTAATAGTCTGTAAAACAGGATAAAGTCAACCTACAAACTGGATACCAGTCAATATATTCAATAAATAGTGCATGAAACTGCCCAAATGAAAACTTCCATTAAATGTAGTTCAAGCGCAACCTGACATTTCGATTTGTCTATTTAGATTTTTCATTTGCATGGTTAAATTATGAAACTGGACTAATGACTTAAAAGGAATAAAATGCAGCCAAATTTTCCTTCACATTTTCCCCTACTATTGTCTGTTTATAATGTGGTTGCTCTGTAAGGACACTGTTTGTAGATTAGACATTAAAAAACTAAGTTTTCAGTTTTTCTGTGGCAAAATGCCAACTTTGGATTCTTCTTGCATGCAAAAATATGGTCATAGGTGCAAAAATATATTACTACTATAGCCATATTTAGTTATTGCATAGTATTACAATGTAACTAAAACACATTACTAACATATCCTTACGAGAGACCATCTTTGAAGGGTCCATCTGCACATTACTACATCATAGCTTGAACCAGAGCACTTGATCTTTCATGTAAGTAAAATACATGAAAAGTTAAGAACAAATGTATTCTTTTAATGTCTGGGGGGTATGGCCTTGATAAAATGTCACTGATAAAAGATCTAGCATTTGATGGTGCTTAGATTTAACTAGCATAGGTCTTCTATTTGTAATCTTGTGTTTAAACATTGTGTGTACCTTTTGAGGACTTAAAATTTTTAATTCTTCCACTACTAAAACTTACAGTACTTCATGTAAACAAGCTCCTACAAATATACTTAGACACCATCATCTGCATCACTGTAACTTACAGAGGTTATATATCCTAACTCAACATATTCAGTTGCTTTCTCTCTACTTGAAATAGAGATGTTAACTACCAATGTAGCAATTTTATCAGGATTAGATCTCTGACAACAGAAAACCAAAGGAGCACATTAGCTCTACTCTTGACTTGTAATAAAAAACATTCATGTGAGTCAACAAAGCACTGGCTCTACTATATGACTGTTTTCAAAAATGTCTTTGCATAAGTTAGCTAGATAACAGGAAAATCACAGAAAGACTGTAATTCAAAGATATCTTGTTGAATGATATTTACTACTTTTTACTTCATCTATTACACCACCATGACTTCCACACACCCATGCCAATGAATTGCCATGACTAAGTTTTATTTTAACTAATGTTTTAACTTTTAAGTTTTACTAAGTTTTATTTTAACTTTTAACTAACAAAACTAAGTTTTATTTTAACTAATTTTAACAAAGTTTAGTATTAACTACATCTAGTAGTAAATATGGGATTATTAAATACTGCAGGTTAAAAGGCCTGAAGGTATGTCAAGTATCTATTTTATTAGCTCAATACTATAATGAAAGATAGAGGTTTTAATATAATTCATGCAATATAAAAACATAAAATTGTATGACTATAAAATATATAATGCTTACAAAGTATCAACTGTTACTTACCGCAGTAAAATACATATGTTTTATAATAACATTTTTCATTTCAGCAAGTTGCATTTTAGACATGACTTGGTCTGTTTCTTGTGCAGCCAGGAAACTGTTCATCTGTGTATCATTTGGATTTTGTATTTTGTTCTACAGAAAAAAAAAATACTTTGTTTCAAAACTAATGGTCTAACCAACTTTTATGTGCTAAGTCTTTCTATGTATTGTATTGCAAACTGTATGTGCCTGTGTATGTTTATGTAATTGTGTAAGGGTATACATCATGTGTAAGATAAAGAGGTGCTGGTTTGGAAACAAACCACTGATGTTGTATGAAATTACAGCACAGGACTTATCAAGGTAAGCTTCCCCATATTTATTTTTCCTAACTGACTTTAGGTCAAGTCACAATCTCTGTGGGTGAAACAAGGACTATTTCTCTATAACAGATTCTCTCTCAGAACTTTCCAAAAACTAAAACCAGAGCTCACACATTTTCAACTGGTCAAAAATGTAGTAAAGACATTATAAGGCATTACTTCAATTTTTTATTCATTTCATATAGACCACTAGAATGAAATATTTTCAGCTCTTGCCTATAAACATGAAACAAATTAGTAATATGAATTTAATAGGCTTTACTGTCTATTTTTTTCTTTGATATTATTGTCTGTTTGTCTAGTAATTAATTCTCTGAGTCCACCTATCATTTTCAGCTACTTCTTCAGCATAGGGAATGAGGAAGCATTTCTCAAATTGGTTTACAACTCATTCTGAAATAACTTTCAGTAACCACACAAGATAACTTTTGCTTGAAAAAAAAAACTATAAATATTTTGAATTTACTTAATGGGTTGAGAACATACATTTCAGTAAGAGTTTCAATGCATGCTTTTCATCAAAGATACACAGGTTAAGAATAAAACACCACGTTTGTTTAAGGTAAATAAAGAAGTAACCACAAAACAAGACTCCTCCTGCAGCATGATGAGTTAAGAATCATGAGATAAGATAGAGGTGAAGTATTCCCTTGGCCATTTCTTATTGTGAGCAGGTGTGGAAGGTTGTGGAAGTTTGGTAACTTGCCTAGTAATTGAAACACTTCAATCTGATGAGTGAATTGAGTCTGGGACATAATATAGAGAAAAAATACAGTAGTGCATGCAATGACATGGTGCAAGAAGTTTATAATTCCATGTTTTCAAGATAAAGTTTCAAAAGTTACATGTCTCATCCTGTTTTCAGATCTTCCTTTAAATGTATTTTTCAAAAGAAACACATTTGGCATATGCATCATGTATCTCTAAACAAATATTGAGAACAAAAACTTCTTGCACATTTCAAAAGAGAATGAAGTATTTTTGGTAACTAGAATAGAATTTTAAATAGCTTTTGATGAGCCATGGATAATTGAACTCTGATGCATTAACTAGTCTTTACTTCTTAGTGCCCTTCATGCATGTTAGTTTCAATATGCTCATTAAAACACTTATATTCAAACAATTTGTAGTACAATCTTGGCAGAAAATTAGAAACTCCAGCATGCTGGTGTAACTTGCCTAGTAATTGAAACACTTCAATCTGATGAGTGAATTGAGTCTGGGACATAATATAGAGAAAAAATACAGTAGTGCATGCAATGACATGGTGCAAGAAGTTTATAATTCCATGTTTTCAAGATAAAGTTTCAAAAGTTACATGTCTCATCCTGTTTTCAGATCTTCCTTTAAATGTATTTTTCAAAAGAAACACATTTGGCATATGCATCATGTATCTCTAAACAAATATTGAGAACAAAAACTTCTTGCACATTTCAAAAGAGAATGAAGTATTTTTGGTAACTAGAATAGAATTTTAAATAGCTTTTGATGAGCCATGGATAATTGAACTCTGATGCATTAACTAGTCTTTACTTCTTAGTGCCCTTCATGCATGTTAGTTTCAATATGCTCATTAAAACACTTATATTCAAACAATTTGTAGTACAATCTTGGCAGAAAATTAGAAACTCCAGCATGCATCCAAAAAGGCTTTTAAAGTCACTGTTCATGTATGAGACTAGCTTCCTAATAAAAATTATGTGTTTTAATATTCTGAATCAGTAAATCTGACCCCTTACAGTATCATATAACCAACGACAATCTCATACAGTGTTTTAACAGTAGACTTGCAAGGTTGAGATAATAAGAACAGATACTGAAATATAAACATGAAGCAAAGACTTAGTTAAAAAAAGAATCACACCAAAAATACTCTGAACAGTGGAGTTTCAGTTGCCCTGAAAAGAATATAATGCTATTTTACTAAATCCATCATCTAGACACACATATGGATGTGTAGGGGAGGAATGAGATTTATATTTGCTAGAAGTAGCAGTCAGATGGCATGACTATAAATTTATGAAGTTGGGAAAATCTAATGAATAACATGCCAAGTACTTCTGGGACAAAGAGAAAAGAGCATGTCCATAACATTCTTTGATAAAGCTTAATATATCTGGACAAGTGCTGTGATTTGATTGCCTATGTTTTATTATTTTTCTTTTAAGAGACTAGGAGCCTTGGCAGTTTCCTGAGTTCTTAGACAGAAAGTTAATGTTCTCTTGGTCTCTGAGGTGAGTTCCTTTAATGAAATCTAAGCAAAAAGATATGTGCAAGTTAACAGACTCGTTAAGATGGAAAGTTGTTATCCCACTTGGGAGGAATTCAAGGTGTATAGCAAGAAACACATGATTTTGATAGAGATCAAAAAAAGGTGACATAGCCATAAAAAATTTTACATTAATTCATCTATGAAAATGTCCATCTTACCTGAAAGGTTTAAAATGAGACCAACTTCCCTGAATAAGTTTCATTAAGAGAGTAAGCACTAGAGTAAGAGCCCACGTTGATGTGTTTTATTCAGGATGTAAGCATTAAGACTTTCCAACCCTTCTGTAATACCTTTACTATGGGGAGAGCTAAGTGCTTTGATCAGAAGAGACCAAAGGATTTATAAATGGTAACAAACACAGTTTTAGCTCCTACTTGCCTACAAAGGCAGTAGTTTCAATTAGCAGTTGATTAAAGTCACCCCAGAGTCTGAGAACTAAATGAATATTCTGAAGCCTTCAAACAGTTAGATCAAAATACTAAGAATTTCTGAGCAGTGCATCTGGTAAGCAAACAAGTATGAAACATGGGGCATCTCTCTTAAGGGAAACAGTAAAACAAAATTCTGGTTCTAGTGAATTCTGCACTAGCACAGGACCATGTCTATATGGCATCTAGAGACTCTACAGTGACCTCTTAAAGTGTTCCATCAACCTTAGAGCAAGAAAGCCCAAGTGGTTCCTGACTTTCCATTTATACTCATTTTCCTGTAACTGCGCACCACAGACAACTGCCTCCCTGTTATGCATCCTGCCTTCTGGTATTTGTGTATATTCATGAGCCTCCCTATCTTTTGGATACATGGTCCCAGAATCAGAAAGTTGTCTTAACTTTAATTAAATCACACAACACTCTGGCTGATTATATTCCCCTCCATTACTAACACTGCATTATTTACCGTAATCAATAAATTAGTTTACTCACTTGAAAGAGGTAATGTCCTATATATTGCAAAGGGTAGTGTCGAGCTTCAGAGAGACACTTTTTATTTTGTATAGGAGAAATTTTACCACCGATGAATACATGAGTTGTATTGTGCTCTGCATTTTCAGATGAACATATGGTTGCCTTTCCAGCTTTAAGAATTCTAAATAAACATATTTAGGAAGATGTATTTACTATATTATATTAACACTGCCTAAAGCTACAATAACATTCACAAAATACAAGCATGCAAGTGCAACTGAATAAAGCTTCTAGATGTATGACACAGCACAAACTTCATTCGAAAGATAAAAGGGCACTTAACAAAACATTACTCTCTTCAAAAAATTTAACACTAGTTATTAAAAACAATGTACATCTCCAATATATTTGATAGAAAGTTTCACCTGTGTTCCTTTCCAAGTATCAAATTTGTTGAAAACAGCTATAATTTATTGCATTATCTATCCCAAAATAATGATCTTTTGGTTAAGTTTTCCTATAAATTAAGCAGTTAACAAAAAATGGCAGACTGCTTTTCTGAAATGTAGTATGATGCTTTTGTAACAGAAATATACATTTGCAGCATTAGTGCTGTCCAGTACCATAAAAGTATCACATAGAGAAAAGAGATTTGCTTGTCTTTGGGGCACCATTACACATAACAATTTCCCCATGGTTAATTTCCAGACCTGCTCAGCTGCAAGTGCTCCTATCTTTTAGAAAAAATACCAGAAGAAAGAAAAGGTGGAAAAATAAGATTTAATGACATCCTGGATATAGGTTTTATTTTTCATAATCCAGATAAATAAAAAGAAAATGGTGCTGGTCTTACACACTTACCCATCCAACAGCTAGACACTAAAGGCAGGAAGAGCATAGAAAGGGGATAAAAGGCACAGTGTTGTTAAATACTAGAAAAAAACCCAGACGTTCCCCAAACCTATAGCATCCTTTATGACTGAAAACAGTACCTGCTGAAGACAAAAAAATCTACCTGCCAGTGTTTTAAGACTGACTAAAAATTGAGTGCATGGGAAACAGTCTGTAAAAAAACATTTTTCACAAAACTTGTTCACCTGTCTTACTAATGTTTTTCCTGTTAAAGGTTGTTTCTATTGCAAGAAATAGAAACAGAAAGCATTGTGCAAGACAGCATTTCAACAGTGTTATCATGAACATCTACATAAGCAGTTTTTATGGAAAAAGAAACAGTATTTTTCACAAGTGTAACAGGACATAGTAAAAATTCTCCCACTCAGCCAAAAAATAGAATACTTAAAATATTTTCAGTTGGCAAAATCAGAAGATGATAACTTCAATTATCTCTCACTTTGTCTTTATGAAATACAAACAGACAGGCATTCTGTGATATAGCATGCAGCTCTGTACTATGATCCAACAAACTGCAATTCCATTCTTACTGTGGATCTTTGGCACACCCAAACCTGACCAGTCCTAACTAACTAGTATCTCTACAGAAAGCTGGACAGTATCTGAATGAATGGAAAGCTCTGAAACTGTCAGGAGGATGTTCCTTTTACTCTACCAGATGCAAATACAACATAAATATGCACTGATTTCAATTCAGGTGTACAATTTAAAGTAATGAATCCAAATGTTTAGAAAGAGTATGGAAAAGAAACTTATGTTCTCAGCATTCTTGCACTTTGGTTTTCCTTATCTTTCTTTTTTTTCTTTCTTTCATTTTCTACTTTTCTATAATCAATTTCTAAACTATCTGTATTTACAATACATCAGAATAATCTGTTTTAGAACAAATTACATCTTCCGAACTAGAAGAACATATTACATAAATGTGACATAAAGACTCATCAGGCCAGTAACAGTGGGGCCCAGATCCATGAGACACAGTCAGGTCATCTACTCAAGTGAAATAAAGTATATGGTTCCAGCTACTATTTGAATGCAACACCCGCACAAAAGAAAAACTGTAAATCTGTCTATCTTGCCTCATGAAGGAAGTTTCTCTTAGCAGCTTACTTGATAAAAACATATGCATGTTATTTTTAACACCATACTAAAAGAAGGCAAGAAAAGTGGTGATGTTACAGATGTAAAGTCTTTATAAAAGTATGGAAATATATTAATGAAAGCATTTCCGAGTTTGGATAGCTGCAGGTTGTTATGGACCAAATTAACTGGGATGGAACTCCTACCTTCTAATACATGCCATTCGTTTATCACCTCTCTTAACAAGGAGGACAACTTTCCATCTGTGGAAGGCCCCTGGAGCACGAGAGTTTGTCAGTTCTTCACGCCATCTTTTAGGTGCAGATTGCATTTGAGGTGAATAATGGGTGTCTCTTTCAATTTCATATCCCCATTCGTACGTTGTTTCATCAAGCCATCTGCCACTTTCAGCACTATTAATTATGTACTCCTTAGTTAGTACCCACTTTCCTAAAAAGAAAATGAACTGTTAACCACAAAAGATTTTTTGTGGAGACAAATGGCAATCAACTGAAGAACTACTAGAAAATTAACTTAAACATTTCTTGTGTAAATAAAAGATGAAATTATAAGTACAATTTTAAAAACTTTTAAATTTTATTACAAGAATCCTCCACTTCAGACTCCAGAATCAAAAATCTCAAAATGCCACTGAAAATGATTGCTTTGTTTTCTTTTAATAATTATCTTTTTACCCTTCCTAGATAAAATACGTGTCTATCTCCTCAAAAATATCAAATACATTTTCTCAGCTTCCCAGATTTTGTTCTTAGAACTTTCACAGAACCTTGGTAAGTCCTTTATTTTTAATACCATTTGACACTTCTAAAAATGTACTAAAATGAAAAAATATTTTACTACCTATGATTTTAAAGAACTAGACATTTGACATGTAAGGTCTTCCTCTTATATATTCTTAATATTACTTGCACTGCTGGTGTAGTGAATATCAATATTCGGGGGACACAGTTTTAGACTTTTTTCTTTCCCCTTTCTTCTTTTCACATCCTTTTCTCTCATCCCTTGGCTCCACCTCCTCCGCCTCTTCTCTTTCATCTTCCACATGTATGCTTTTGATATAGTATGTAATGATCTTCCCCTTCTCTCTGTCTCTCTCTCTCTCTTCTTACAGGTTCAGGTCAAGAGCAGTGGTTAGTAACCTGCTCCTGTATTGAAATACTACCTACAGAAGACACTGTAAGATAAATTGACTTGAATTGTGTGAACCTAATTGATTTCACAGAACTGCACAGTTGACTGACAAAATGTCTCAGTGCAGGAGCACAGATGGCACTTCTACAAAACCTAGTATAGATACCAGTGGATTTATAGCTGGAAAAGGTATTCTGTGCATAACCTGGATGTTAAAACCACTTTCATGCAAAGTTTCCATCCCAAAATTTCTGTCAGGTGGGAAGTACATGATAAGTGGTAGCCTTGATAGTATTTCTGCTGAACTCTATGGAGTTCGAAATATGTTTAAACATGATCTTTCTTCACTACCTGGAAAACAATACAGTAGAAATGAATACACTGTCTCTGCCATCACGAGTAAGAGCAATGACTATGCAAAATTAACACCTCTTCTGGATTAAGAAGTATTAGATAGTATTGGGGAAGATTTGCATGTATCGAACGAAGCATGATAGTTTTGCATCACCATGAGGACACTACACTGTACCATTTCTACTCTGTTCAAGCAAACATCTTCAAATTTTGAACTCCAAAAAGTAAGAAAACATTAACTTAAAATAAAGGTTTAAAATTGCTAAAACAAAGTGCAGAAACCTAGATGCATTTTTTCCCCTCTTGGAAACTTTTGGGCTATTTCGTTTTTGTAAGATTGCAATCAGAATTTTATCTTAGTACAAAGAAAAATACATACATATATTATGGAAATCAAGAAATTTACATATATTTTAAACCTAAGTGTATCTTCAGTCATTTGTCTATTATCTCTTAATTTAAGATTATCCACCCTAACAACTGCTTTAACACTTTAGAGTAATCTGATATAGGGAAAATAAATATCATGCTTAAAAATGGTTTTGTGATATCTCATAACTACAAGATACTCAAACAGCATCACAGAATTCTGACAGGGGATCAGTCTGTAAAAAAATTTTAAAATACAGCATTTTCATTCTAAAAGCATTTTAGTTGCTAATGAATGGGATTTCAGCACCAAACCCTAATTAAAAAGGAAAGACCAGAAGCTGGTCTGAGAATGGCAACAACCTGGAACTTTCTTTTGCTGCATGAACAGGAACTTGCAATGATATTTACCAGTGCATGTTCCACATGAATTTGTCATCATAAATCCATGGTGACTACAGGGTTCGTACTCCCTCTGCCCTCTTTTAAGCATCCAAATAATGTGAGCATGACTTTATTATCTAAAGTATAAGAAAATGTTCTGTTTGGGAACAGATGCAGATCCAACAAAGGAAAATAGCAGGAATATCATTTAGGGAAAAAACAAAACAAAAAAGTGGACTTTACTTCACCATATCACTATGTTAAAAATCAAGGCTAACAGAACAAGAAGAATGAAGGTTTGTAAGACAGTTCATTCACAAAATTAAAACAAGTAACTAAAACCCTTTTAAGGGTCCTTTCCATACTTATGCTGTAATGCTATGAAATTAAACAGCAAATCTTTTACTTACCAGCAGCGCAGGCAGCTAAGACCTTTTCACTCTTGCACAGCTTTTTTGCTACAAGATGTGTACAATTTCTGTATTTCTAACAAAACAAAACAACACACTTTGTATCACTAGAAATATTTAAATTCTTTGTCTATTTTTACATAACTAACCTATGGCATGGTCCTTTCTCCTAAGACTTGCACTTTTACTTGCATTTTACAGCTCTAATTCTCTTTGCTGTATTGTAATGAACAGTACCTTACTCTCTACAAAAACACAGTTCAGCTTGGACAGGCATTTGAGCAGTGCCTTCTTCTCTTGTTTTTTAAATCCAGTTATTTGTATTATCCTTTTCTGGCTGCAACTTGCCATCTGTTGAAAGAAGAATGAAAAGAAAACATTAACACACAAAATATACACCATGGCAAGATGCTTGCAAGGCCTGACTAGTATTTGCTACTTCTTTTCCAGTAAAATAGGCAAACACGCGAAAAGGAATGAATGCTGGTACACCACATTTTAAGCTCTCACTGCCTGCCAGAGCAAGGACACCAGATAAGCGGTAACGGAGTAGCCCGAGAACCGCAAACTGCAGCCCGCACTGGGCCGAACCCCCAGGTCTGGCATCTTGGCTCAACACCAAACGCGCGGAGGTTCAGTCCTTCGAGCCCCTGCTCCGCTGTCGGCAGTGCGGGGCAGCCTCCCATCGCCCCGCGGGCGGAGGGAACCCCGCCGGCCCCGTCACAGGGACACGCAGCCGAGGTGCGGCAGCTGGCGGCGGTGCCGGTCAGGAGGTGACGGGCGAGGGCCCCTGGCTGCGGCGGGGAGCCCTCCAGCGCTCACGTAGGGAAGCCACGGGAGGAGGCGCTGTACCGGCCCTGACGCTGGTTCGGTTCGGTTCGGTTCGGTCCGCTGCGATGCCCACCAGGCGCCGCAGCCCAGCAAGTTCCCGCCTTCCCACGCCCCGCCCCCGGATGTGGCGGAGCGGCCGTTCCGGGACGTTGTTACTGACGCTCCGCGGTCGCCGGGGCCGCCGGCGCGGAGCCGCAGGGCGATCCCGGCCGGGTAAGTGGCCCCGCTGGGGCTGCCCTTCCCCTCAGCTTACCGTGCGGCCGGGCCATGGCGCCGAGCGGGACAGGGCTGGGCTTCGCTGCGGCCGCCCGCGGAGCATCGGCGTTCCCCGCGGCCGCCTTCTCTCCCGTGCGGCATGGCAGGGCGCTGCGCAGTCCCCGAGCTCCCAGGGGTCCTGGTGGGCGCCGCCACCTGCAGCGGGAAGGCGGCGCCGAAATCCGTCTGAGGTGGTCCCGGCGGCGCGGCGCTCCAGGCCCGGCTGCGGCGAGGAGCGGGAAGGGGCGGTCTTCCGTCAGACGGAGAGGAGGGGGTCCTTCAAGGCGCAGGGAGGCGGGGGCAGGCTGGGGCGGAGGGCGAGCTGGGAAATGCGCTGACGCTCTCCCGGAGTCTGGAAATCACCATGGCTGTTGCTCGGTGGAACTAAAATTGTGGAAGGCGGTCTGGCAGGGGGGTGTGTCGGTCTGTATGCAAGCTGAAGTGAGTTACCGCTGGAAGAATCAGGAAAGAGACCAGGGATTTCTGACACTGAGAACCATTTTCTCAGTATCTCGGAGAAACATTTCAAAGTTTCAAAGCATGTGCCTCGTAGGGCAGGTGAGAAGGTAGTGCTACAGTCTGATAATCAAGCCACATGTTTTTGGGAAGGGCTTTCTGGCCTGCTCATGAAGGAAAGGCATTCCTCCCCCTCTGATCCAAGTTGGTACAACGTTTTTGTTATTAGAGTCAAGGCTTGATTTTTTTCAGTTACAAAGCAATATAAAGAGATCACAATAATATTCATCTTGTACCTCAGGCACTCAGTGTAGAATTCAGAAATACGGAAATGCCAAGATTTGCTGTCCATGAAACTTTTTTCAGTTGCCCACTCTATTTTGGTCCCTTCTGTATTTGAGAGATGACTTTTGACTATTTCTCTCTCACGTAATGAACTGAACAGATATTGCACAAATCTGTTGATGCTTCCCAGCAAATAGAGGTAGTTTTGTAGAACACTTTTATTTGGTTTTTCTACAGTTTGAGAGTAGAATGCATGCATTCAAAGAAAAAAGATTACAAAAAAAGATGGTTGAAATACCTCTTTAGAGAACTGAATTGTGGTCAGTCTGTACTCATTGAGGTATTTCAGATACTCTTTCATATGTAAGACCTGTAAATTGAGATATGTACAACAAAACTCACAAGTGCTGAGATTTTGTCACTGCAGCTTAGATCAATAGAAGCAATGCTTTGAGCTCGACACTGCTATAAAACATAAGTATCTCTCAAAAAACAAAACCATATAGGTGCAGGCATCTAAAATTTGACAGCAAATTGGACACTTGGTTTAAATCTGAGTTTTCCAGAATATCAAAAAAGAAAAACAGTACTTCCAGGCCAGAGATGACTTGCTGTATAAAAAGGATTCTGGTACCCTTAATGCTTACTGAAGTTTTCTTATCTCTTGTTTCTTTAGCATTGCAGTTATTTTTTTGTATGTGAGCATGAAGAAATAAACATCAACAGTCTTTCTCGCTACTCTTTTTGCAAATTGACAGTGGAAAAAATCTCAAATACTTAGAGTTAATATCCAGACTACAGTTATTGCTTGCACTTCTCTATTGACAGTGAAGATCAGTTGCATTTTCTGTTTTGTACTTGTTGCACCTTTATACTTTTACTGTTGATTTGTCAGGACTGTAAAGGTATTGATTTTAATTCTTGTAAACTTTTACTTTATTTTAAACAGTTTAATTCTTACTAACTTGGACTAGCTACTATTAATTACTATACTGATAACTAACAGCAGTTTTATGTCACAAGATTCTTAACAGGCTGGAGGGGTCTTCAGCATATGATACTCTTAACTCCCAGTGAAAAAAGCTGTGAAGCTCTGTCAGGGAAGATTTAGGTTAAATTCAGGCTCTTCACCGAGAGAGTGGTTGTGCACTGCAACAGGCTTCCCAGGGAAGTGGTCACAGCTCCAGGCCTGCCAGAATTCAACAAGTGTTTGGACAACACTCTCAGGCAATGGTGTGACTCTTGGAATGTCATGTGCAGGCCCAGGAGTTTTACTTCAATGATGCTTGTGGTCCCTTCCAACTCAGGATATTCTTGATTCAATCATTCATACTTATATGATGACCCTTTCTTACCTTTAAGAATTAACTTATTTTTCCCATGTCTCTGGCACATAAAATAGTATGGAATCAACTGAGATCTCAAACATTTCACATCTATTTTTTTCTTTGAAATACATTGTTACCAAAATGTAGCTTTAAGGAATTAAGTTTTTTAACCATTATTTCAATGATCACTTTGGAATTCACTTACTCCCTAATTCTATTGTTTGGTTAATTAAAAGTCTAGAATTTTTTCTCCCTTTCCATCCTTGTTGTGATCTCATTATGGTAGCTAAGTGTCTCTTATGTCTCATTGGTCTCATAGGGAGCAGGCTTTTTAACAAATGTATTTTTAAGTCCCCCTAATTTCCTTTAATTGTCTTTGTCAAATATACAATTCAGTTGCTCAGTACTATAAGATATAATTTAACAGTTTGTCTCTGGGTTTTAGATAGTATCTACTTTTACACATTTTCTTCTACAGTACCTGTGACATGTTCTATAAAATTTAGGAAGCAATTTTCTGTACTACACACATGGTATTTCACTTATAAAACTTCTAATTACATTTTAAGGACAATGAAGAATGGCTGTACAGCTCTCACATCCAGTTCATTAAGAAGCCAAGGTCAGAAAAATAAATATTCCTTTTCGCCTATCACAGAAAGATTTTATTTACAGTGTATCAGCTGTCCATCTCTTTCAGACCTCCTTTATTAATTTTATTACCTAGAGAGAAAAAGAGTTTTCATTTTCATTACACTGTTCCGGCTTTCTACCTTATACTTCTTATTTCCTTTATGTTCTGTGCATATTTATATTACCACGCCTTCTGCCTTAAAATTTCACTTCTTCCATTTTCCAGTAATAGCTATTTTACTTCACACAGTTATCTTTCTTCAGGCTTTATTGGTGCTGCTGCTTTCTATGTTATCACTGTTGATCCCTGTCTATAAATCTCAGTCTGTTTCTCAAAGCCTCTGCCACTTTGTCCTTAACTTTGCAAGTTAGGGTTACTTTTTTTTGTTTGATCTTTTTTCATATGTAGTATTTGTCCCTCATAAGCCTTTTGACTTCCTGTGTATGAATTCCTTATGTAATTACTTGCACATTCTGAGAGCAATAAAGTCCATGCAAAACCATCTTTCCATTGTGAAGTATAATCTGGAATACGTTTTGTAGTATGTGCTTAAAATACTTGCCATCATGCAAACAAGTTTATCAGTTGACTGAATAAAGAAAATTATTCATTGGAGTTTTTTTCTTCTAAGTATAATATGTATACTTTTAAAATGAAACTTGCAATGCAATAGGCAAACATTTAGTTATCATAGCTTTGTAAAAAAACCAATCGTGAAACTACATTGAAAAACCAGTCATAAAACCTAAAGCAGTATGAAGTGTCTCCACACTGCCTTCATGTGGATAAAAGTCTAACTTTATGCCACTTAAAGTCCATTTTTTTCTTCAGTATGAAGCACTGTCTCTCGCTTCTTGAAACTGAAGGAATTTAAATTTTCTTCTGTAGTGATAAGGGATTACAAGGATTAGAAATAATACAATACAAATCCACAGAAGCTATGGGAGCTTCTTAGTAGTAATCACCTTTCTATAAAAATACCTGTAGTTTCTCTCAGGAGCCAATGAATACAGGAAAGGCAGAACAAGCATTGTGAAAGTTCCTGCTTTTCTTCAAGCCGTACTAATTATATAAACTCTGTGTTACCATAACTTAATACTTATTTTTAAAAACATCTTCATGTTCTTCTCAGGACATGTCTTTTGTGTTTCTTTCATGTAATAATTTTGTTCCAAAGAACATTTATTTTTATGACTGTTATAAGCTCAGCCCATCTTCTCATCTTGCATTCATCTGCTTTTCTGCCAGCTTGCGTTCTGTTAATGTATGTCAGTGAATCAATGGACAAATGTGGAGAGCAAAGAATAGTGTTCAACAGCTTGTTCTGTAACTCTTCTGTACATGAGTTTATGTGTATTAGTTCAATCAGTAATGAATTAGTGAACTGTATTTTTTTAGCGTACTTTCAGTCTTTTATGACTTGGACTAAGGTTTTGGTTGTTCATTTCTTTTAAAATATAGTTATAAAAAGAATTTATTTTGCATTTAATACTTAATTTTCCTACCACATAAAGTCCAAGTTTCTTTTCATTGTCTGATATGAGTTAATCTGTCGCTGCTTCTTAGACTTTCTTAATCATATTACTGCTCTTCTGCCCTGTTCTAAATGCGCTATATAGCTGCCTGGAATACTTAAGTGACCTAGTTTCCCTGGTGACCTTCTAATAACATTTTTGCCTACATAGGAGATCCATTCTGATGTGATCAGCAATTTTTCATTCCTCAAAGTCCTTTCATCTTCTTCTTTTTCTCTTTGTTTTTTGAGGATGCCCATAAGCTGATTGACATTGTGTTTGCTGATTATTTGGGTTTTGGGCTGTAAAATGCATTTTGTTTGTCTTTTGGTATTTTGTTACTCTAAGTAACTGTATTTAAAATTTAAATATAGTTAATGCTAGAAGATATTGTAAATTTTTGCTAATAATTGAATGTTGTTAAGTACAGTCTGTATATACTATGAATATTCCAAAATGGTTTATCCTCTGCAATAACACATCTCTCCCCTCAGTTTTATTTCTGGCTAGGTAACTGCCAACAGCATGTCCAGAATGCAGATAAACCCTGCAACCCTGGGTCGCAGACATTAGAAAATCAAGTTAGACGTGATATAGTCAGTGGGGTAATGTGTTACTTGTACACTTTCTACCTTCTCTACAGTTCACTGTACATGAGATCAGTATAGAGGGAAAAAGTAGAGATGACTGTGGATGGAAGGACAAAAATACTGGAAGGTAGTTAGGAGAAAGTATGGCATT